ACCCCAAAAAGGGGGACCCCAAAAAGGAGATCCCAAATCCCAAAAAATTGGGGAGCCACATGTGGGGTGACCCCGAAATTTGGGATCCCAATTTGGGAGAACCCCAAAATTTGGGATCCCAAATCCCCCGAAAGGGGGGATTCCAAATCCACCAGGGATCCTAAAAAATCGGGGACCCAGACATGGGGTGACCCCCAAATTTGGGATCCCAATTTAGGGGGAGCCCCCAAAATTTGGGATCCCATTTTGGGGGAAACCTCAATAAGGTGAGCCCCCCAAAAAGAGAGACCCTCAATATTAAGGGGATCCCAAAAGTGAGACCCCCCAAATTTGTGGTGATTTCGGTGGGGTGACCCCGAAATTTGGGATCTTGACATGGGGTGACCCCAATGGGGAGTGGGACCCCAAAATTGGGGACCCCAATATCAGGGGAGTCCTCAATTTGGGGGGGATCCCACCATGAGGGGGACCCTGACACGAGGGGGGGTCCAAGGCACGGTGCACCCCAAAACAAGGGGGGTGCAATGCACAGGAGACCCCAACATGGGGGGGACCCCAAAACGGGGAGACCCCAAAACAAACGGGGAGACCCCAAAACAAATGGGGAGACCCCAAAACAAACCGGGAGACCCCAAAACAAATGGGGAGACCCCAAAACAAACCGGGAGACCCCAAAACAAATGGGGAGACCCCAAAACAAACCGGGAGACCCCAAAACAAATGGGGAGACCCCAAAACAAACCGGGAGACCCCAAAACAAATGGGGAGACCCCAAAACAAGGGGGGTGCAATGCACAGGAGACCCCAACACGGGGGGACCCCAAAACGGGGAGACCCCAAAACAAGGGGAGGACCCCAAAACAAGGGGGCAGCGATGCACAAGGAGCTGTATCTGAAACATGGAGCACACAGGGAGTTTTTAGGGGGTTCAAGGATTTTTTGGGGGGGGGTCCAGGAGGCCTCAGGGGATTTTGGGGTCCCCTCCTTGACCCCCCCTGTGCCCCCCAAGTCCTCTCAGGGTGGGGGACACCGGACGCTGCTCTACGGCCACGCCATCCTGCTGAGACACTCTCACAGCGGCATGGTGAGTCTGGGGGGGCTCTGAGGAGGTTTGGGGGGGCCACCAGGGTTTTGGGGGGCTCTGGGGGGTTTTGGGGACCCCCCAATAACCGCGTGTCCCCCCCAGTACCTGAGCTGCCTGACCACCTCCCGCTCGGTCACCGACAAGCTGGCCTTCGACGTGGGGCTGCAGAAGGATGCAGCAGGTAAAGGGGGGGACCCCGAGGGTTCCTGGGGAGCCCCCCAGGTGGGGAGGGGGTGGTTTTGGGGTCCCCCCCGCGGTTTTTGGGGTGCTGATTTGGGGTGTGCCCCAAGGTGAGGCGTGCTGGTGGACGATGCACCCGGCGTCCAAGCAGCGCTCGGAGGGGGAGAAGGTTCGGGTGGGAGACGACCTGATCCTGGTCAGCGTGTCCTCGGAGAGATACCTGGTGAGACCTGGGGACACCTGGGGACACCTGGGGACACCTGGGACACCTGGGACACCTGGGGACACCTGGGACATCTGGGGACATGGGGGGACATGGGGACATGGGGACACGGGAATCCCCCCAGGCCCTGACCTGATCCTGGTCAGCGTGTCCTCAGAGAGATACCTGGTGAGACCTGGGGACACCTGGGGACACCTGGGACACCTGGGACATCTGGGGACACCTGGGACATCTGGGGACATGGGGGGACATGGGGACATGGGGACACGGGAATCCCCCCAGGCCCTGACCTGATCCTGGTCAGCGTGTCCTCGGAGAGATACCTGGTGAGACCTGGGGACACCTGGGACATCTGGGGACATGTGGGGACACCTGGGACATCTGGGACACCTGGGGACATGGGGGGACATGGGGGGACATGGGGACATGGGGATCTGCACACGCCCTGACCTGATCCTGGTCAGCGTGTCCTCGGAGAGATACCTGGTGAGACCTGGGGACACTGGGGACACCTGGGACACCTGGGACACCTGGGGACATGGGGGGACATGGGGGGACATGGGGACATGGGGACATGGGGATCCCCACACGCCCTGACCTGATCCTGGTCAGCGTGTCCTCGGAGAGATACCTGGTGAGACCTGGGGACACCTGTGCTCACCTGGGGACACCTGGGACACCTGGGACACCTTGGACACCTGGGGACACCTGGGACACCTGGGGACACCTGTGCTCACCTGGGGACACGTGTCCCACCCGTGTCCCACCCGTGTCTCACCCATGTCCCACCCGTGTCCCCCCTGTCCCAGCACCTCTCCACGGCCTCCGGGGAGCTGCAGGTGGACGCCTCCTTCATGCAGACCCTGTGGAACATGAACCCCATCTGCTCGGGCTCCGAGGAAGGTGACACCTGAGGCACCCCAAATTTGGGTGGGGGGGGTCCTTTGGGGTGTCCCCAACACCCTGACCCCTTCCCCGAAATGTCCCCTCAGGTTTTGTCACCGGCGGCCACGTCATGCGCCTGTTCCACGGCCACATGGACGAGTGCCTGACCCCCACGGCCCCCGAGCAGGGCGAGGAGCGCAGGTGGGGCTGTCCCCAATTTGTCCCCCGAATTTGGGGTGGGGAGGGGTCCCCAACTAGCTGTGACCCCCTCCCCACCCTTTGTCACCTCCCAGCAGCGTTGTCAACTACGAGGGTGGCGCCGTGTGCGCCCACGCCAGGTCCCTGTGGCGCCTGGAGCCCCTGCGCATCAGGTACGGGGACACGTGGGGACACGGGGTGTCACCACCCCCTGAGGACACTGGGGACACTCTGGGGGGTCCCCCCCGTGGAGCCCCGGTGGGGGTTTGGGGTCCTGGAGTGTCCCCAAGATGTGTCGCTGTGTCATCGTGTCCTGTCCGGGTGTCACCTGTCAGCGTGTCCGGGTGTCCCCATGTCCCTGTGGCACATCAGCCTGTGTCTCCTGTGTCACCCCATGTCCCCATGACCCGTCCTGTGTCCCCTGTGTCACCCCGTGTCCCTGTGACACATCTGCATGTCCTCAGCCTGTGTCCCCTGTGTTCCCTGTGTCACCCCATGTCCCCATGACCCATCCCTGTGTCCCCATGACCCATCCCCGTGTCCCCTGTGTCACCCCATGTCCCTGTGACACATCTGCTTGTCCTCAGCCTGTGTCCCCTGTGTCCCCCCATGTCCCCTCCCTGTGTCCCCATGACCCATCCCCGTGTCCCCTGTGTCACCCCATGTCCCTGTGACCCATCCCGTGTCCCCTGTGTCCCCCCATGTCCTCATGTCCCTATCTCGTGTCCCCATGACCCATCCCGTGTCCCCTGTGTCACCCCATGTCTTCATGTCCCCATCCCTGTGTCCCCTGTGTCGCCCCGTGTCCCCATGTCCCTATCCCCTGTCCCCATGACCCATCCCTGTGTCCCCATGACCCATCCCCATGTCCCCATGTCCCCATCCCGTGTCCCAGCCCCCCGGGGTGACAGCAGTGTCCCCTGTGTCCCTCAGCTGGAGCGGGAGCCACCTGCGTTGGGGACAGCCCTTCCGCCTGCGCCACGTCACCACCGGCCGCTACCTGGCGCTGACCGAGGCCACCGGGCTGGCCATGGTGGAGGCCAGCGCGGCCAACACGCGCGTGGCCACCTTCTGCTTCCGGGCCTCCAAGGTGGGAGTGTCACTGCATGTCCCCAGCCCTGTCCCCATCCATGTCCCCAACCCTGTCCCCAACCCTGTCCCCATCCCTGTCCCCATCCCTGTCCCCATCCATGTCCCCATCCCTGTCCCCACCGTGACTAAGATTGGTCTTTGGGGGATGTTTGGGGTCTTTGAGGGTTAATGAGGATTTCTGGGGTCTTTTGGGGTCCCCAAAACGTGCTGGGGTGGCTCTGGGGGGGCTTTGGGGGGAGTTTTGGGGGGTTTTGAGAGCCCTAAGATTGGTCTTTGGGGGATGTTTGGGGTCTTTGAGGGTTAATGAGGATTTCTGGGGTCTTTTGGGGTCCCCAAAACGTGCTGGGGTGGCTCTGGGGGGGCTTTGGGGGGAGTTTTGGGGGGTTTTGAGAGCCGGGGGTATCCGAGGGGGTCTGGGGTGTCGTTAGGGTGGTCCTGGTGGTCTGACCCCCCCCCCTCCCCAGGAGCCTGGACAGCCTCCAGGGCCGCCCCCGGGGGTCTCCGCCGCCCCCCCTGCCCATCGCCGGCGTCATCCTGAGCCTGCGGGACCTGATCGGGTACCTGGAGCCGCCGCCCCCCGAGCTGCGGCACGAGCAGCGCCAGGGCCGCCTGCGGGCGCTGCGGGCCCGCCAGAGCCTCTTCCAGCAGGAGGTGCGACCCCCGGGACCCCTCCCCACAGCCGGGAGGGGCTGCACTCGGGGTTACAGGGTTACACTGGGGGTTAAAGGGTTAAACTCGGGGTTAAAGGGTTAAACTCGGGGAGTTAAAGGGTTAAACCTGTGCCCCGGGGTGCCAGGTCCAGGTGATCTGGAGCCTCTTCCAGCAGGAGGTGCGACCCCCGGGACCCCTCCCCAGAGCCGGGAGGGGCTGCACTCGGGGTTACAGGGTTACACTGGGGGTTAAAGGGTTAAACTCGGGGGTTAAAGGGTTAAACCTCTGCCCCAGGGGGAGTTTGGGGGCATTTTGAGGTGATCTGGGGCTGCCAGAGCCTCTTCCAGCAGGAGGTGCGACCCCCGGGACCCCTCCCCAAAGCTGGGAGGTCACAGTGGGGTCGTGCAGGTTCTGGGAGGTGGCACAGAGTGGGATGGGGGGGGGGTCCCAGTTTGGGGGTCCCAGGATGCTGGTGGGTGGTCCCAGGGTGTCTGTCCCAGTTTGGGGGTCCTGGGGGTCCCACGGGGGGGTCTGACAGCCCCCCCGGGCCGCAGGGGATGCTGACCCTGGTGCCAGTTTGGGGGTCCCAGGGTGGGTGTCCCGGGGGGGATCTGGGGGGTGTCCCAGGGTGGGTGTCCCAGGTTGGGGGTCCCGGGGGGGACCTGGGGGGGTCTCAGCCCCCCGGCCCGCAGGGCATGCTGACCCTGGTGCCAGTTTGGGGGTCCCAGGTTGGGGGTCCCAGGGGGGTCTCACAGCCCCCGGCCCGCAGGGCATGCTGACCCTGGTGCTGAGCTGCATCGACCGCCTGAGCGCCTACAGCACCGCGGCGCAGTTCGGGGAGGCCGCGGGCGAGGAGGCGGCGGCCGCCTGGAAGGAGATCGTCAACCTGCTCTACGAGCTGCTGGGTGGGGCCCGGGGGCAGATCCGGGGGGCTGGGGGGCAGATATGGGGGCGGTGTCTGTGACCCCCCGGTGGGTCTGGGGTCCGCAGGCATCCTGGAGGTGCTGTACTGCGTGCTGATCGAGAGCCCCGAGGTGCTGAACATCATCCAGGAGAACCACATCAAGTCCATCATCTCCCTGCTCGACAAGCACGGCCGCAACCACAAGGTGCGCGGGGCTGCCGGCCCGGGTGGGCTCAGGTGGGCCAGAGCCCCGAGGTGCTGAACATCATCCAGGAGAACCACATCAAGTCCATCATCTCCCTGCTCGACAAGCACGGCCGCAACCACAAGGTGCGCGGGGCTGCCGGCCCGGGTGGGCTCAGGTGGGCCCAGGTGGGCCCAGGTGTGCCCCCAGGTGGGCCCAGGTGGGCTCAGGTGTGCCCTCAACTATCCCCAGGTGGGCTCAGGTGGGCCCAGGTGGGCTCAGGTGTGCACAGGTGGGCTCAGGTGTGCTCAGGTGTGCCCCCAGGTGTGCCCTCAACTATCCCCAGGTGTGCTCAGGTGTGCCCACGTGGGCCCAGGTGTGCACAGGTGTGCCCAGGTGGTCTCAGGTGTGCACAGGTGTGCCCCCAGGTGTGCCCTCAGGTGGGCCCAGGTGGGCTCAGGTGTGCACAGGTGGGCACAGGTGGGCACAAGTGTGCCTCCAGGTGTGCCCAGGTGTGCCCAGGTGTGCTCAGGTGTGCCCCCAGGTGTGCCCTCAGCTATCCCCAGGTGGGCTCAGGTGTGCCCAGGCGTGTCCCCAGCTGTGTCCCCAGCCATGCCCAGGTGTTCCCAGCTGTGCCCAGCTGTCCCCAGGTGTCCCCAGCTGTCCCCAGCCATGCCCAGCTGTCCCCAGGTGTCCCCAGGTGTCCCCAGCTGTCCCCAGGTGTCCCCTGCTGTGCCCAGCCGTGCCCAGGTGCCCCCAGCCATGCCCAGCTGTCCCCAGGCGTGTCCCCAGCTGTGCCCAGCTGTGCCCAGCCATGCCCAGGTGTTCCCAGCTGTCCCCAGGCGTGCCCAGCTGTACCCAGGTGTCCCCAGGTGTCCCCAGCTGTCCCCAGGTGTCCCC